CAGACGAAAAATATTGTACTTTTATTTCTTTGCCCAACTCTCATGAGATAGGATGCACTTCGTTGCGGTACACGTATGTAGGTACGACCCGTCACGTCGCTGTTCAACACAATAAAATATACACCGGTTGCCCGAGGGGGGTTGTTCCAGTCACCCCTCCCTCCCTCCCTCCCTCCCTCCCTCTCCTGTTATAGATTCGTCTCCTGTCCACAAGCAAAAGGATGGCCCCCCTACCCCACACGAACGAACGAGTGTTTCTTGAAAGAATTTGCCGTCTCCCGCTATACTTTCGAGCATGAGCCTCCTCCTCAAAACCAATTGGACACACATGTTAAACGTAAGAGGTACTACAGTATCTCGCAACCAACCGGGGAGAGGTTTTCTTCTCGTGAATGCTCAGGAAAAGCGATGCTCATCTTCCAACCTGTAGTCTACAGTAGATACAAGGACGCTCCCCTGGCCCCCGCTTTGGGGGGTGGGGGGGGAGCAAGCTGCGCTGTATGCCGGCAACCAAAACAACCACAACCACCACCACCATTGACAACAAACAACAACAACAACAACAACAATAACGGTACCTACCTGCGAGCGGAGCGTGACATCCAAACCGCCCATTTCGGCAAGCCAGTCTCGACCGCGAGATACGGAGTCGAGCACGTAGGCCTCGCACACGTCCACGTGCCGGTCGATGAGCTCGTTGTTGATGAGCCTGACAGATTGATTGATGTGTTTGACAAGCACGACAACAACAATCGACATCGTCAGTAACGCAGAGATGCCAAACAACGGGTAACAAATCGCTTCGAGGGATCCATCGTGCTCGATCGATGATATTTCTGGCGAAAAGAGTTGTCCTTGTTGTACCCAACAACCAACAAAAACGCTGTTGCAGCACCTACCTGTAAATCTCACAAACACAAGACGGTCGACAGGAGCTGAGCGCAATAAAACGCTCAAACACAAAAAAACACCACGCACGACAATAAGCGTGATACATATGTTGGTCATTCTTACCAGAGGTTGCCCGCGTTAGGATTGGAAGGGTCGAACACTCCGGTGCCGGAAATGACATCCGCCACCGAAACTGTCGTGACACCCGTCCTGGCGCCTGGCGCGCGAGAAGTTTGTGGACGTTCATGGAACAAACAACGGTTGGTCGGTAAAAAAAGTGGAAAATAGTCAGCGTTATCATGGTTGCCTTTTGAACCCGCAACCAACCTCTAGGCTACCAAATGTTGTTGGGGTTGGATGTGACGGGTAAACTGATGTGGGCTCAAAAGTGGCCCCTTGCATGTCGTTTTGCAATAAAACAGACCACCTGTGCCAGGGGGCCAAATTGACGACTTGCTCCTAGACTTATGTACATAGCAACGCCCTCTCTTCCCCTCAGTACCGACTACTTGTGAAGGGGGTCTGATTCTACGTGCACGCATCAGTCATTGCTGCATACATACATACATACATGCCTACCTTTGAGAACGTCGTCATAGAAGTCTTTGTTGAGCTGCACGTCCGCCTTGGTCCCCATCCGAGAAAGGTGCCCGCCAACGAGGACGTCCATGTCGTAGCCTGCGTGCGTCCGTTTTTAGTCAAGAAAGACGAGTGCGGGGGGGGGGGGGGGGAATAAGGGTGTACCCCTGTTTTACCTACCCCAACGGGTGGGCCCCATTTGCCGCGCGGCCCCCAGAGGGGGAAGGGGCGGTTTTCCCCCCGGGGGGATGGTTAAAGAAGAACCAACCTTTCTTTCCAAAAGAGGGGGGGGGGGGGCCAAAACCACGATCGGGAGGGGGGGGGGGGGAAAGAACCACGGGACCCCGGGGGACCAGGGTTTCGTTTTTTTATCCAAAGGGGGACAAACCCGAATTTTCTCTAAAAAAATGGACCTACCCCTTGGGGTACATACCGGCCGAAAAGCCCTTTTGGTGCGGGCGGGAGGGTTCAGGGGGGGTTCCCCCAAACCCCCAAAGTGGCATGGATGGGGCCCCGGGAAATTTTCCTTTTTTTTT